AGAGAGAGAGAGAGAGAGAGAGAGAGAGAGGGAGGACTGTGAGTGAGGCTGTGAAGGGAAGCTAAAATCCCTTCTCCCCGTGAGGGGCTTACAGGCGCAGTTCCCACTCACAAACACAATGCCAACCTTCAAAAATGAAGATGGGCAAGCCGGAGTGTGGGATCTCCTGAACTTGCGTTTACTAAAGTTAACCTTCTAACCTCTTAAAAATATAAGTGAGTTTCAAATGAATAAACCCATTCACGATATCCTTACTGACTCCTGATTAAGCAAAAGCAGTGTTAGGTATTCAGCTAACACAGACAAGCTCTTTCGGTGAACAAGGAAACCCTAAAAATGTATGTGCTTTAAAGTTCAAGTGAATAATAAGAGGTGCCAACTTAAAGCTAGTCCTATGAATCACCAGTAACTACAGCTCATCTCAAAAACCATTAATATTTTAAATTCAAGAGTAAATTTTAATGGTAATTAAATGGCAATAGGACTCTCTCCAATATTTTGGTTGAAAGCTGGAACAGCTCATATTTTCCAGAAGTAGATCCAGCCGCCAGTCAGAGTCAGGATGGAATGAAGGCCTCACCACCGAGCAGCTGGTGGCTTTTGCAGGGCATTAATTGACCACTGGGCCTTAGTTTTCTCATCTGTAAAATGGAGCAGACCACAGCAACAATACCTTGGTAGTAGTGAAGCTAACACTAACACTTTTTAGTGTACAGCCTGGCACATAGGAAGTGCTAGTAACACTGGCTCAGATTATTAATGAATAACTTTCACATTATTATAAATTGAAATCACTTAAACATTCCCAAAAATAAGGATCTAGTTACAGCAGACACACCTAAAATAGCAAAAATTGCAATTGCACAAGAACTTAAGAGATAAAAAGGAAACCGTCACCAGCAGCCGAGCTGAAGAAGCTTCCCCCTCGCTCCCGTAGGGCCAGAGCCCGGCCCTCCACCCTCCACTGACCCAGGGACGGGGACCTCCGACACAGCAGATCCTGTGCTCTGCTGAACACGCAGCAACAACAGAATCCCTCTTCCCTTCCTCCCATTTCCTTACCACTAGTCTTCCTTGGACAGTGTATTTTCCAGTAAACATTTCTTATGTTTGTAAATACAAAGTAGATTCTAGGACGTCAGGGCCCTCAGTTCATTTCATCAAGATATTTACCGAATGCCTATTATATGTCAGGCTTGGGTCTGGGCACTGGGTATAAAGGAATGAACAGAACAGTCTCTCACGGAGCTGAAAGTCCAAGGGGGTGGCATGGAGCTGATGGGGTACAAAGTCGTATTCCTAATACTACTGTAAGAAATATGGACTAAACGTACCCCTGAAACTTGTCAGTCTGACTTAGCACAAAGACTACATTTTAAGGTTTCCTTTTAAGGAAGTTAAACAATTCATTAAACACTATCTCCTTCGAGAATATATGCTGCTGCTACTTCTCAATTTTACCAAAGGCCTCACTGGAAGAGTATGTGTTCACCTGGAATTACTGTGCCTAAAAACCAGCCAAGAGCACCTGGTAATCCACTAGGTGAGGACTAAGAAGTGTCTGCTGGGGCATTAGGAGAAGAGCTTTGCACCAATCAGAGAAAGGCAACTGCACGTTCCAAACCTTCTTCCGCAGCAGAGTGAGGGACTCCTTGATTTGATCAACCAGATCCTCGCTCTTCCCCTCAAATTTCAGTCCAAGTTTCCACTGCTTGATCCAGTTGTATTTACTTATGAGTTTTTCTGGTAACTGGAGTATCAAGACACAGAGAGAGAAAGGATGTTAACATTCCAGAAAGCTCGTCACATGGTCCTAGCTGTAAGAAACCACAAAGCCTACGAAACCCAACTTCGTTTCCAGAATGAATCCTTGCAGATCTGTCATGTGGGTTTAGGATGGAGGACCTAAATCTGGAAGTCGGGATCTCAGACAGTACCACCATGAGGAGGGCAGCTACAAGGACATGGTGGTCCTGGCTGCGACCTATCCTGCTATGCGGCAGCCCCAGCCAGGACCCTACACAGCACTCTGTGGGAGCACGTAAAGAAGAGCCCATGCGTGTCTCCACAGAGCCCACCAGGTAGCCTGTGGGCTCACTGGCAGCCTCCCTACCACCCCCGAACGCCAGATGCCAGAAGGCACTTCGGGACACATGAGATGGTCCAGGAGAAAGTAAAAAGCTGCTCCCTTGCTGATGAAGAAAATAAAACCTAATTTTGATATGAGCACATATACTCAAAGTTTTAATATTCTGTATCTAGTTTAGTTGCTTAATCAACGTAATAAGACAAAAAATACAACTGAGAAAGAGAAGCAAGGTTACGGGAGCTGTGATGGCCTAGCTCACTAAAGAAGTGGCAGCTCAACTACTGCTCAGCCTGATTCCTGGTTTCTTCCTGGAGCAGCTCATCAGTGGAATCTGGAGTTTGAAAGGCAAGCTGAGACGTAACTTGATCGATGGCAGCATGGGAACTCAGACTCTCCTAACAGTCTGGGTGTGTCAGGAAAAAATCCACATAATTAGGTTGGCACAGGCACGTCGCATCATTGCTATAACACTTAGAAAGGAAAAAAAGTTCACCTCCAAGTCAAAAGATGAAGGAAGAATAATTAATTCCTACAACAGCCTCTGTGGAACCTGAGATCGTCTGAGTTTTACAGAGTTTTAAATAAGACCATATGTTCAGTTCTCCTGAACACCCTGAAGACCCTTTCATGAATGGTAATTCCAGTTTTGCCTTCTCAATCTATAGCAATCATGCAAAACGAAGGTAGTTTCATCTCTGAAACATCAAAACCAATTGGGATAGGAATTCCTCTTCAGGTTACCAGTGAAGACAAGCCACTCACTCACTCACTGAGGGGGAGGGCTGTGTCTCCTCATCGTCTCCTGATGACAAATGACCACCCACCCACGAGCCAGCTAGCTCTGTGCCCACACTGGCCGGCATTTCGGCAGTATGTGGGCAGCTCTGCTACAAACCTTCATGAGGTTCTCAGGTTTATCACCAGAACCTAAAATGCCCTCAAGTGGCAATAAACTGAAATCACAATTGGGCACAAAGAAATGCAACTGAGCAGAAAATGTGGGTACACGGATGGGAGCTGGGAACCGGGGTCAAGGGAAGCCCAGGAGAGCATCTGAGCATCACGTGACACTGTGCAGGCATCGAAAAAGCAAGCACAAAAGACAGCTGAAAACTCGGGAGACCCGAGATCTAATCACACAGAGGGAAACCAAAATAAAATCTGTCTCCTCGTTCCTCCTGTGTTTTGGTCAGACGGTGGTAGACTAATCACCCAGCTCAGGACGTATGCTTCTGGGAGATGCAGAGATGGTGGAGAAAGTCCAAAAATAGAGGTGTGAAAAAGAAATTACGAGGAAAGAATAATGGAGTTGAAATTATTTATTCAGAAGAAAAAAAATGAACGTAACTTTGAATGCTTTTAGGGGTCGTTAATACATAAAACACACATAAATAGCCATTTGTTTCTCCTACACACAGAGACTGGACTTCTGTTAGAATAAGGGAAATTTGACTAAGACACAAGATTTAAGTTAAGAAAAAATGATGGAAAATATTTAAGAATAAAGTTACGTCATTAGCTTAAGTATATTAAGCTATATATATTAATATATATTAAGTATATTATTTGTGACTGAATTATAAAAACTGCCTGTTTTCTCTAGCAAGTGTCCATAATTCTGGAAATTGCCTCCGTGATTAAAGGGATAGCAAATAACAAAAATGTCATCCCTAAAACGAACTCATCAAATGAGTTTCAATACACAGTACAATCTAACCCCCTCTAAGCCACTGTCACAGGTCCCACACACTCAAAGACATTCTAAAACTCAGCAAAGTTGGAAACCAAGGACTCCTCCGTGAAGGACACCACCTCTCGGGGACCCAGGCAAGGTTCCAAGCCAGGCCAAGCCACCTCCAAGGTTGGGGTCAGGGTGGACGATCTGACTGCAGTCACCCATCAAGTCTGGGATCTGGACAGAAGCAGGAACACCCAGGGAGCCCAGGCAGGGAGACAGGAGGTGAGGGGAGGCTGACCTGTCAGGGGCAGAGGACAAGCTCCGCCTCCCAGGCGGGAAGGGAGCAAGGCCAGAGGGGCTAAGCACCAGCGGAAGGTGGGGGGGGGGCCTCCTAGAGCCCAGGCTGAGGGGAGAGTCTGTCAGCCAGCTCTCCAGCATCCCTTCAATGTGCTGCTCTAGGAGAGACAGAAGAGGGCGCAAGGCTACAGAGCACACCCTCAGACGGCTAGCTAGAGGGTGCATGCCCCACGGGAACAAAACATGGCTCCTCTGTTCACCCAAATTATGCTTGACGATATGCACACTGAGGTCAAGGATGTCTGGCACAGCATGGGGCCTGCAGGCCATGGCTGAGGCTAGTTCTGGGTGAAATTCATGCAAAAACTCAGGTGTCCCAGGCCCTGTCTGGCCCCTAAAGCTGAAAAGGTGGGTTACTTAGAGCCAGTGCAGTTCAGGAGACCCTAATAATGCTGAAACCAGTCCCTCCAACCTGCCTGCAGGCAGCAGCGCTGGGTGTCCCCAGGACTTCTAAAAGGCCCATGGACACACAGTAACCAGAGGCGTTTGTGCCAGGAACCAGCCAGGACACGTGACTGTCACTGGACATGGGGTAGTGGTCAGAAGAGGCCCGTGGCATTTCAGAAGGACCAGGGTAAACTGAGGTAGATCCACTGTCAGAGACTTATTGTGGCTGTGGTCCAAGTGTTTATGATAGCAAGCCTACCCCATCTTAGCACAAATAATTTATACCAATTTCTAACAGCAAGCAGGGCTTTCCTTAACATGGCAGGATACAAGTCATCCTGACACATCAGGAAGAGGGATAGCGGATGGGCACCCTGACTTTCATACCAAAACTCCTGTAAGATTGTCTTGTTTTGTAGCCATAGTTATTTAAGAATCACTCCATCTGCTTGTCTTAAGCATGTGTGTTAACAAATAAATATTAAGATGTTTACTTAACTGGAGTTACACAGTAGTATCTGGAGGTGGGAAGACCCCACTTCCGGGGCGAGGTGGTCTGCCACCTCACAACCACGGGCGAACCGCCAGCCTCTGCAGGCCTCACCACCCGTCCATCTGCACAGTGCCACACCAACGTCCTCCAGTCACACTGGGTCCCCCACTTGCTCACTCAGCGAGGCCCTTGTCCGTGACAACAGGATGCAATGGCATCCACAGGAGGGTAGGTGCCTAAAACTCAGCTTGGTCAAGTGCAACAACCAAGTCTGGGGACCCCTTCCTGCACTGGCACCTTGAATGTGAACCAGGTGGTGCATCTCTCATCTGCTCAGGCGATACAACAAAACTGACCCTGCAAATAAAGTGCTCAAACCAAGGGAAATAGCCGGAGGCTGGCAAGCCAACAGGAGGACAAGTCTTCTAGTCAGAGGAGAGCAAGGAAAGAACAATGTCATCTCTTCAGCTGACATTCAACAGAAGTAAAGTTTAATAAACTTAAACAGGAAACTCACAGGTATGATTGGCTTTTTCTCTGTGACCCGGGCCTCCTGGCATTCAATAACAGTTAGATAACAGAAATCATACCACGGTGACCAACTTGATTATGTGCCCAAGAGAAGAGCTGTATTTGTTGGCTGATACACACAGAAAAGGGCAGGAACTGGAAAGAGCATTTGAGAACTGAAAACTGCTTCCGCGGGACTCAAATCAAGTCAGGAAAGCCACCTTCCCCTCAAGCCTCACAGCTCACAAGCGGAACATATTCTAACAGTGATCAGACAAAAGTAGCAATCTACTTTGTTTTTAATATGGCAGCTGATCTTACCCAATAGTATCCTGTTAGTAAAATCAAAGGGACATTGTACTTTACTTTTATGGGCCATATTTTATATGTTTAAATTGTGCAGAGCACTACTTGCACCAGTTTCTTGGAAAATATAAAAACTGAAGTTCATTAATGACAACTAAATCCATAAACCTAAATAGAGCCTTAAAGGAAAAGACTCAAAGGAAAATTCACCCTAAAATTGAGAAGGATTCTATGTGACAATCTAGAATTTAAGCTATGGTCGTCAAACACAGAAGTTAAAGCAGAAAACAGTGAAATCACTAATGTGTGCTTTCCTAGCAGTGTCTTATAGCCACAGGCATGCTTTTGCTAAGTGATCAACAATTCTGAAATATTTCACTACTTATAAATGTCATGATTTGAAAAGGAAAAATAACCTAGTAGATAAACTGCTTTTGTCTCCATATCAAAAAAATAAAGAAGCTAATACTGAGAAATCTGCTTAAGATGACATGCATCTCTGTTAGACAAACATCTTCCCCAGTTTATACAGGCGTGCTGATTTTACACCAGTTTATAAAATGGACCATCACAGGATGGACAGGCAGCATCTTCTGCCCACCGGTCCTGGTTTTGCCCCTTGAGGGTCCTGTGATCCCTTGTTCACCTACCAGGCATCTAACTAGCTTAGCGGACCACCGGTTTTCTCTAAAAGTCCTCTTCATTTTACTCTAGCTCCTTCAACTGTTCCCAAAACGAGATGACTCGTCCTGGTCACACTCCCATCTGTTCTGAGGATACGGGAACACAGCTGCACTCACTGCTTGTGATGGGATCTGACCGGCCCAGTTCAAGATGGGACTGTCACTGCCTGTGTCTCAGAAGCACGCCTTTGAAAACAGGGCTCCCTTATCACTGCCGGCCATTGCATCACGTGGGCTCATACTGGGCTTGAATTAAGATCCTGACACCTTTTTTCCTCCCCTCATAAGCTGTGGTAAACCAGATCTCCACAGCTAGCACTTTGAGTTTTGTTTTGGCTTTTTAAAAAAAATATAAGCACCTTGGGCCGGCCGAATGGTGCGTTGGTTAAAAGCTGGCTTGGGACGCCAGCTCTGAGCAGCAGGGCCCCGGTTCGGATCCCACATGAGGGCCAGTGACACTGCCCTCTACAGCTAAGATGGTGAACAACAGCTCAACCTGGAGCTGGGCTGCCGTGCGTCGCCGTCGACAGCATAGGCTGCAGCCCTGGCTGCAGTGGGTTGCCATGGGCTACCGTGTGTGGCTGGCAGCCGGTGTGAGCTGCCAAGAGCCGCCATGAGCGGCTGTCCAGAGGCCAGTGACCGATCTGCCTCACCCGGGAAGAGCGCAACAATACTAACATGGGCCAGTGAAAAAAAAAACGACAGCAACTTGTCTATTCCCCTCCCCCAATTCCCCAATTAAAAAAAAAAAAAAACTTAAAAAATAAAAAGCACCTGACTTCCAATTAACATCATAGTATCAGTTTTGCTCAATTATTCCCACCCACCAAACTCTTCTGTGATATTCTATCATCCAACCTACTATGTGACCTGATGTGTGTCATAGACACATGACACACTGATACGGTGACTTCCTGGGTGTCAGTACCACACTGTGGATTTAAAACACTGAAGAGGGCCTGGCATGGCACACAGCCCCAACACAGACCTCCCCCTGAGGCCCCTCCCAAGGTGACATGAACCCTCTCTCTTCCAGTGCTGCTGTTCAACCACCTAGCACGCCAATCTGCCTCACACTGTGCAAAGGGCGCTCATTCCTGGAACTCGAGTTAGAACTACAGAAATGTGCATCTAAAACCCCCGAGGGTTCTCAGCAAGTACAACACACAACCCATTTAATACAGACCCACCACTGAAGTCAACCTGCTCCTAAGTGCTTCTTACAAACTCTAAACACCTGCTCTCTAATTTAGCTCAATTGTTCATATACATTTTATCATTTTTCTCTTCTGGGAAATACCAACTATTTTTGGTTGCTTTACTATGCAAAACCACGCCAGCCACACAAAAGCCAACAAACCCACATGGTGACAGCATGCTGCAGACAGCACCAACACAGAGCACCGGCAGAAATGGGAAGTCTTTCTCACAAAAACGGCTGGAAACATTGCGGACTCAAACCTGCAGCAGCAGCGTACCAGCGTGAGCTCCGGGTCCTGCAGCCAGGTGGGCAGCGCTGCCGGCTGGCTCATGGCCTGGAAGAGCGTGGCCCTCAGCGCACAGTAATTGTCCCCGCGGACTCGCCTTATGGACGTGAACTTCTGAGATACCTCTTCATAGCCCTGGGTGGAAGCATCAAAGAATTCAATATGGTTGTCGCTGACTTCAGGGGGGTGTTTATTCCTGCGGAAAAAATGTGCCCCTGCTCACTGGAAGACAGGAAATAAGGCTGACTGAGTCCTCTGTGTAAGACATTCTAATTCCTTCTTTATTCATCAAAAGAAATTAACAAACGTTAGTACTGTTCAAAATATGTAACAAACACAATACACTGAAACACATAAAAAATACACCAAGTATTATTACAACACTAACCACCCCAAAGTTGGTGTTGTATGTCCCTTTCCAAGCAACTATGGCAACAGCCACTTATTGATAACCAATATTCTGAAGAGTTTAATCTGTGTTTAAATTGACCCTACACTCTTTTATTGAAGAGACGGGAAAGCAGAGATGAACTAAATTTGTATCTCTATATTAAAAAAAAAAAAACACCAAAATCCCAAATTTCCACAGTACATAAAAAAGTCAACATGCTAGGAGATATCTGGATAATTCTGTTAAGACTTTTTTAAAAAGTGGATTTAATTATTGTTGTTCAGTCTGCAAGTGAAAAGAAGAAATGAAAATGTTCAGTGACATGCCTGTCACTCAAAAGCAGCCAACTAAATGGACCATTTTGAAGCATATCCAGAAAGGACACTATAGAATCCCAGTGACCTGGGCCACAGGCACTCAGGTGGCCTGAGTATCAGTCTCACTGCTCCCCGCAGCTCGCTTGCCCCATCCTGCCAGTCCTTTGTTCATCCTGCTCTTCTTTGACAGTCACTAAAAACCCTGCACTTACACAAAGAAAGGGTGTTACTCTCATCCTGGGTGGACACCATGCGGACAGTCATCCTGTGTCCAAGTACTGGACCCTCATTATTAGTGGTTTTCAAGGTTCAATCACAGGACGCTGTTCTAAGTGGATATGAAACTACTTCTTTATACTTTATAATAAAATTCTGAGAATCGCGTTTTATTTAGTGGTCCAACCACTGCAACCTAGAGGGTCCATTAAGTAGACTCACGCCTACCAGTGTGCCCCATGGAAGACTCCCAATTACCCTGAACACTCATGATGGGTAGGTAGTTCGACAGCAACTGCACCTTTCCAAATGCATACATTACTCATGCTATTTTCAGAGGTGAATCAAACTCTCAAAATTAAATTTGGATTTATACACACTTCCAAATGATTAGCCAAAATAAAAATTGACAATTAGACAAATAAAGACTAAAAACAAACTGAGGCCCAAGCTGTCATCAGGCCCTGAGATGCTCTAATTACTGCCTCGGGTCCTAATGTGACGCTTTTCTAACTGACATACCTTTAATTACTTGGTCACCAAAAAGTCCAACTATAGGGCCAAATGTTTCCTTTGAACTAAAATCACAGAGGAGTGATTTCAGCATGAGTTCCAAAATATGGAATATTTGGATAACTTAGGAGACATCTTCAATTATGGACCTTCAGGGGCCAAGTGTTAGAACAGACATTTTAAAGAGTCTGAGGTCACAAAACTGCGAGTCAGTGAAAGCATTTCTGGGGAAGATGAGAAAATACAGGCAGACCTTGGAGACATTGCAGCTCACTGCCAGACCAGTGCAATAAAGTGAATATTTCAATAAAGTGAATTGAAAATAATTTGCATGAATTTTTTGGTTTCCAAGTGCATATAAAAGTTATGTTTACACTATACTATACCTCATTAAGTGTACAATGGCCTTATGTCTAAAACAATAACATACATACCTTAATTAAAAAACACTTTATTGCTAAAAAATGCTAACCACCATCTAAGCCTGCTGGGAAAATGGGACCCATAAGACTTGCTTGACACGGGGTTGCCACAAATCTTCAATTTGCAAAAACAAAACCAAAAAAAGAAAAATGCAATAAAGTGAAGCACAATAAAATGAGGTGTGCCTGTGTGGTTTCAATGCCTGGCCTTCTGGTTATCTATAATAGTTTGATACCGGGCTGGAGGTTGTTAGAAAATCTGAGTGGCTGATATGCATATCCAGCAGACACCATAAATTTTAATGTTCTTAACCTCTGGCAGGAACTGAGAATCCCACGTATTTCATGATTGAGTTCTCGAACAAGGACCTGAGACACGAAGAGCCTGCAGTCCAGACTCGCAGGGAACAGAACTGAAATCTGCTCTCAGAGCCTGAGAAGTGGCAGCGACACTCTGAGTTAAGATCTGCCCATTTCAGGGCAGCCATGGGTAACTGAGGTGCCATATTTGATACAAAAACAAGCTCTGAGGAAAAGAACAAATGCATTAAAATGTTTAAAAATTTTGGGCCAGCTGAGTAGCGCGTTGGTTAAGAACTTGGCTTGGGATGCCAGAGGTCCCTGGTTTGGATCCCACATAAGGGCCAGTGACACTGCCCTCTGCAGCTAAGAGGGTGAACGGCAGCTCAACCTGGGACTGGGCTGCCGTGAGTCGCTGTCGACAGCGTAGGCTGTAGTCCCTGCTGCAGTGGGTTGTCATGGGCTACCATGTGTAGCCGGCAGCCAGCGTGAGTGGCCAGCAGCCGCAGTGAGCGGCCGTCCAGAGGCTGGCGACTGATCTGCCTCGCCCAGGAAGAGCGCAATGATGGTGCCAGCTTGGGCCAGTGAAGCAACATCCTCCACAATTAGACTGAAGAACAGAAGGAGAGCAACTTGTCTGTTCCCCTTCCCCCAATTCCTCAATAAAAAAATCTTTAAAAAAAAAATGTTTAAAAATTTAAAATCCTAAACAATACAGTGCCAAACAAAAAATATTAGAAAAATTTCTATCAAATATGATAGGTTGATATCCCTAATACACAAGAAGTGCATTCAAATTCATAATGTAAAGCATCCCAAGAGAAAAATGAGCAAAGGATATAACATAAAGGTGACAAGAGGTGGTGGTAGTGTTAGCTTGAAACTGCCATTTTTATCACTCAGACACAGTCGAATAGCAGCAATTTCACATGGGTCAAAGCACTAGGGAATGTTGGAATCAGAATGCTTACAAGGCGGACCAACAGGTGTGCTGCTCAGCTGGCTGTGCAGTGGGAGTGGCCAAGAGACCTGACCTGGGGGACCACGTCATGCGGATCCCCGACGTCCCATGGCCTTGGACACTAACTTAGGGTCACCAATCTATGCAATGGCACTGGGGTGCCCTAAATGAAGGGAGCAGTTCCAGATACCTCTGCGTAGGGAGTGCAGGAGGGTCTAGGCCCCTAGGTCTGGAGGGCATGAACCAAACCCGATGGGGACAGCAGCAGATATGACATCTTGTTCCTCAACGAGCCAGAAGGCCATTCCCAAATGACACCAGGACAAGCAGTGGCTGGCCCAACTATAAACAGCACAGAGCCATTCATGTGCTTTTCAAAGAAATCAAATTACTGAAAAGCTGATACTGATTCTATATTATGACTGTGACCTGAAAAAAAGTCCCTTATCTTTGGAGACTGTTTCCTTAGCTCTAAAATTATAACACCAAGATTTACATAGTGTCACAGCAGTTTCGTAATTCGCGTCTAAAAATATAAAAGGACACATAAAATAATCTCCTATGGTGGACTATTTGAAAGACATTAAATATTGCATCTAGGTCTCATACCTTTTTCATACATGTGGCTTTTTGCGTAGTTCCCCTCCATTCTTTTTTGCAGTAGTCCATGATATCCATTTCAGGAGCTACGCTTAATCTGGGTTCTGTTAAAGAATCAAACAAAAGGGGGAGAGGGCGAAATAACGAAACAAAGCATAATCAGAATAAGGATACTGCTTTATGTGGGTTATTTTCTCTCTCACTTCATTCCAAAACAAATCCAGGATCCCTTCCCTGCCCACCACCTGGTCCAGACTGCCATCCCCTCGCTCCCAGATGGCCACAGAGGTCTCCCAACGGGTCTCCCTTGTCACCACACCCTGCTGACCGTTCTGCACATGGCAACCAGAGTGATGCGATGACACCCATCACCCGTGGGCGCCGCGTGCTCCAGGGCCTCCCATCTCACTTGGAGGGGGGGGCTGATGTCCTTCCTACCTACAAGGCCCCTGCCCTGGCCCCACTCCCACCACCCTACACTGCCGGCTCCTGCTCCACCTGCAGCCTCCCCTGTATTCCTCCTCCACATCCACTCTTCCTCAGGTACCTGCTCCCACATTCTACGAAGGTCTCTGCTCACCTGACGCCCCATATCATAATGTCACAAGCACACTTTCACTCTATTCCCTTTCCACTGTTCCGTTTTCCTGCTTGGCACTGATCAAGGCCTGACACGTTTCTTTCCCTGCATCCCCCAACCACCTTCCCCACACCCAGTGAGCTCCTCGAGTGCGAGGGCTGCTTCTGCTTCCTGGCTGTGTCCTCAGCACCGGCAACTGCACTGACACGGGTGCCCATGAATACTGTTCTCATCAATTAAACATGCCACAGTCTCAGCGATGAGAAAGTATATCCAGTGATTTGTCATTAGCTTTCTACATCCATGATACAAACAGATAACACCTCTGTAACAATAGGTATGTTTAATTGTCTTTATTTATTTATATCCTACCCTGGTCCCCAAAGGCTACAAGTTATGGATAATAAGCCAGAAACGAACGGAGGTCTGAACATTAGTTGAAATACAGATCTCATTCAACTCTAAAACACATTCCCCAAAATTAATAATGCAACTTACGATCAGACAAATGATACATAAGACTATGGCCTTTAGATTTTCCTTGTTTACCATAAGAGGCCTGGGGTTGGATTTTGTGGTATATGCATAGACATGCACACACGTATGTATGTGTGTGTTTTAAAAAGAAAGAGAAGTAAATTCTCAGGCATATCTTGACTTCCTTTTTAAGTTACTAAAAAAGTAAACGTTAGCAAAGAAATTAGGATATAAACACAGAAGTACTTTACAACATACTGCAGAGGAAGCTGTACATTTAAAATAAAAATATTATATTACATTCAACAAATATTTACGGAGTATAATCCACACCAAGCACTGAGCTAGAGATATGAAGGAACAAAGACCCAGATTCTGTCCTGAAGGGGTCTAAAGAGTACTGAGGAAGAAAGCCCACAGGCAGTCACGAGCCAGGGTGCGATGGGTGATGGGGTGATTACGGAGCGCCAAAGAGGAGACCCTGAGCCCTTCCTGCAGTTGAGGTAAATCTTTTTTTTTTTAATGCAAAATGTTAAGAACTGCCTATTTTTAAAAATCTCATGGTGAGGAATCCTTTTATAAAGAAAATAAACCTTTTATATAAAAGGGGAAGTAACACATATATAGACAACATAGAGGCATTATCTGTGGCATAAGTCAGGATTGGCTTAAAAGTGAAAGCCCTCTGAACCATAATATACAGAGAACACAAATTCCAGTGCTGTTCAGCAATACAGAACCATCATTGCTGAAATTCAAGAAACATTTTTTGAGTGTCACTTAGTGGAGGGAAGTTGTTTTGCATCTGCCTTACCACTACCTCCCTACAAAGCACAGGAATTGCTAATGTGGAGCCCAGGACACACACTGGGCCATGTTCTCCCACCTGGCAGAGCACACTTCCCGCTCAGGAAGGGCCTCCCACAAAGGAAGTCCAGCCTTCCTGGTCTCCTTGGTCACAGTCCTTGTTCCTGCACACGCCAAGATAAGAGCTGGGCAGGTGATGGGCCTCAGCACCTCAGGACTGGGTGGGGGCAGGAGGCCTCACAGGGCCAAGAAGCCCCAGGCCACCTGCGTTGAGTCAGGTGCCACATGAGGCAGTGAGGGTAAGGATATGGTGCTCTTGCTCAGCTGCTAGAAATGGTCCTTGACTTCCCATCCTGCTGCTTGTCTTTGGCAGGAGGGCTCCCACAGCCACTGCATGCCATCCTCGAGGCCAGGGGTGGGGGCACAAGACAGGTAGTGCCTGGCCTCAGCAACTTAGGGTTCAACAGTTTCTTTCTTTGTTAAACTGCAAACTATTTACATAGATTGATGACTGTTTCCAAAGAAGATGTTTCTAATGGAGGAAAAAAACGACCCAAAGGGGGAAGCTGAAAACCAGAGTGGCAACCAGGAAGAAATCAACAAAAGGTCTGGTCCTTAATCACCATGGGGTGACAAAGACAAGGGTGACAAAGACAAGGATTTAGACCCTCAGGAGACGGGAATTTAAAAAATGCACTCCTACAGAAAGCTGAGACTGAATCAGAGGGTGGGCAAGGGCAAGCATCGCACACCTTTTCTATAATGGGCCAGACAGTAAATAACGTAGGCTTTGAGGGCCACGAAGATGGTCACAACTATTCAACTTCACCTTGGGTGAAAGCCACCATGGACAATATGTAAATAAGAAGTTCCAACAAAACTTTATTTACAAAATCAGCTGGCATGTCGAATTTGGCCAGGGAACCACAGTTTGCTGGAAAAGGTGAAAAAAACCTTTTCACTAACAAAGAGAGAGCGTTAGAAAACTGTCTGTCTTGCCCTGGGCCCTGATGTCAGGGAGAGGAAATCTCCCCCGAGAATTCATAACCACAGGCTGGCTCTCACAAAGAGACAGGGTGTGAATTCAGACTAGCTGCACGCCTGGAAATGCAAGTCTAGAAACTAACATAAAGTGGCCCAAGGGGGATGACACCCTGCGTGCCTGGCAGAAACAAGGCCAAGTTCTCTCACACTCAAGCCAAGTTGCACAAACTCTACAAAAATACTCAAGAGCTGAGCTTACAGTTCAAACTCCAAAGAAACAAGAAATAATCAAAAAACAGCAACTGGCACAATTAGACCTACAGGATTTTCAGAAAATGGAATTATCAGACCCAGGAAATTATGTTTAAAATGCTTAAAGAAACAAAGAAAGAAATAAAAAACATGAACAAAAGGAAATAAACTATCAAAAAAAAGACCACGTAAATGGGGGGGGGGCGGGGGAGGGACACAGACACAAACTTAATGGAAAAAGAAGAAAAAGCAAATAGATCTGAACAAACTGTCCAGAATGCAACAGAAGCCACAAGATTAAAAAATATATGTGAAAGCATGTGTAATGGAAAGCCTTGGGTGACTGAACATGGGCAAGCAAACACCTAGAGTTCTGGAAGAAGTAAACAGAGAACAGGAAAAAGGCAACACTTACAAAGATAATGGGTGAGAAGTCTCCCAAATTGATGAAAACTAGGCATCTGGGGATGCAAACAGAAAAAAATCTCAAGCAATATGTTAAAAAAAAAAAAAAAAAACCCAGGGCCAGCCGAGGGGCTCAGTTGGTTAAGAGCTTGCTCAAGAGTGTGAGCTCTGAGCAACAGGCACCAGTTCGATTCCCAGCCCGAGCTGAGCTGCCGCTGAGCTGCCACTTGGCAGGATGGCTCAGCTAAAAAATAAAAAAACAAAAAAACCACACCCATACTTATGAGACATCAGGAGCAACAGCAGAACACTGAAGACAAAGAGAAAAGGGAATTAGTCTGACTGCAGTATTTTAACTACAACAGAAACCAGAAGACAATGGAATAAAACCTTCAAAAAGATTAGAGAAAACAACTATTCATCTGGAGTTATTCAAGAAAGAAAGCGAAATAAAGAAATTTTCAAACAGCTTCCCACCAAAAGACCCTTCCAGAAGCCTTCTAAAGGATATGATTTCAGGAAGGCAGTGGCCCAGGGGACTGAGATGCAAGGAGTAGAAGGAGGCCCATTTCTTTCTTTTTATTTTATTTTAAAGATTTTATTGGGGAATTGGGGAAGGGGAACAGTCAAGTTGCTGTCCTTTTGTTCTTCAGTCTAGTTGTGGAGGACGTTGCTTCACTGGCCCATGTTGGTATTATCACTGTGCTCTTCCCAGCTGAGGCAGTTGCTTGCCGGCCATTGGACGGCCGCTCACGGTGGCTCTCGGCAGCTCACGCCAGCTGCCGGCCAACCCCACTGTAGCCTACACCATCACTGGTGACTCACGGCAGCCCAGCTCCAGGTTAAGCTGTTGTTCACCATCTTAGCTGTAGAGGGCGCAGCATTACTGGCCCTCATGTGGGATCCGAACCGGGGCCCTGCTGCTCAGAGCTGGTGTCCCAAGCCAACTCCTAACCAACATGCCACTCGGCTGGCCCGAAGGAGGCCCACTTCAATCTCAGACTCAAGCTGGAAGTACAAGGCCCCCGACAAGCTGAAATGCCTGAATAGGGCTGTCCCTGCAGACAGCAGAGCATCACGACAGTGACAGAGAACATAAGAGGTGTGTGCGCGCGGCAGGAACGCTGTGGCCAAAGCAGTGCTTCCTCCTCAGTAACATGACTAAGAAGGACTCTGCACCAGGAGCAAACTTGGTGCAACCGCAGCAGGGAAAGCGAGCGTCCTCCAGGGTTTTGTGGAGGCCCCGACAGTGTGGCCCAGGAACACACCTGACTGAGCCATTACAAAGAATCCCCTCCAATGGCCACCACAGTGGAGTCCCACCAATTCCCTGTTGAGGAAGACTTGAAAATTATCAACAAAATACCACTTTTTTGCTTTATACCACTTTGTATCGCTTTACCATTTGTTTCTAATTACATACATAATACTTTCTGTTAACCATAAAGAAAATAGAAGCTAGCTCAAATCAAACCAGTGGGACACACAGGTTACACAGGTGATGAGAGAACAAGTGGCCCTTTGAATCACCTATTGCACAGCCCCACTTGGCTCCAGCCTCCGAAGGCAGGAGGGACTTCTCCACACGCAGCCCGCTGGCTATGCGCGCAGTGGACCAGGCTACGAGTAACGCCCTCGCGAGCCATGATGGGCGCATGGGCCCTGGTGGGAGTGAGAAAAGCAGGCAGGACTGGGCAGAAACATGGACACAAAATCAGGAAACAATGAGAGAATTAGTGCTACTGATCCATGACCATTCTTTCTTACAAGTCCATCAAATTCATATGGCCATCTGATGCAAAGACCCAAGGGGCCAGCTTCTCCATAAGTCCTCCCATTTGAAACAAAAACTTCATCGCAAATCCAAACTCTCTAAGAATCTAAGGCAATCAACTGAGAGAGCGTGGAGTAAAAGGATTAAACAAATTTCCCAGGTGCAAAAATGCTATGAACGTAAAGAACGCAGGGAGAATACTTGGATTAAAATGTTAAAACCTCAGGAAACAGTGTTTCCCAAACACACTTTAGCAAAATGAATAATCAGAGGCAGATAAGGCCATATGCATCAGAATATTTCCTAGACAGCACATCTTAACATTTTATGAGAATGGATATACCCATTTAACAGAATTTTCTACTATAAACAGTAAGAACTCTATAAATAATTCCAAACATACCTGATGACCCTCTTTCATGTATAAGTAATTCTTTCTCCTTTTCTATTTCATACTCGTCACGATACATGTCCTCCTCTCTGAAATCACACCAAATTAGACATTTCAAAAATTTGCTGCACTGACATTTTCTTTACCCCCCCTCATCACAGTATGCAGGTGCTTACAAAAACTGATAAGACAAAGCTTAATTTTTTTCATAATTCATGATAACAATCTGATAAAACATGGGTCTTTCATCTTAGATGATGTGTTTCTATCACCCCATTTCAGAGTTTCTTACTTTAAATGAGACATTTTACATCACTCCACTTACTACCCGGCTATTTTAATTGTGATGTCTATTAATGCCTCAACTACATATGTAAGCATCTTAGCATGCATCTTATCAGTGAAGCCGTCACAATTCTATCAAGTTCTAAGAATGGAGCTTGCACTATTGAAAGTATTTATATAGGAGTGTAGGCCAATTGTCAACTTTAAAACGGCACAAGCAAATTTTACAACAGCTACTCTAAAAACAATGATAGGAGAGCATCAATTAGTATAAGTCCACAAAGCTGACAAAACACCCCGAGGCTCCACCTGCTCCCGGACCCCTACATTCAAGCAGCCACCCATGTTCTGCTGAGCATATCCCTACAGCCCCACATACTTTAACTGCTGCCACCACTGCTAACTGGTACTTCTATAACTGCTTCCTAAAGAGTCTGTGGTGTCACTCAGTGAACTAACAAGAACCTACTAAGTACTAGGAAGGGAGAAAGCTCCACTGGGTGCTGGACAAGGATGGAGACCGGGACTTCAGGTTTTAGGGTGTCTTCTGTCCCTTCAGGATACACCACATGACAATGATGGGAAACACTATCTTTGTTGAAACCACAAGACACGTGACAACCCAAACAGTCCAAAAGTGGACAAAGGAGTAGTCAATGACGGAGGATAGGGGTCCTGCCTGCAGGCAGAGGGCCCTCTGCCAGAAGGGGAGGCCAGTAAACCCTGAACCCCAGAAAGGCTGGGGAACTGGAGGTGCCAGGTGCTTCAGAAGGTCCAGGAGACAGCCAGAGCTGCAAACAAGGCAAGGGGCTGATGCCGACACAAGGACTAATCAGGCCCTCCGCTTCCCCCTCCCTCCACATGACAGCACACCCCCATCCTCACAGGAGACGGGAGGATCCAGCCACAATGAAACACAGGAAGTTGTTAATAAATATGGTCAACAGGAATTAAGTGGATAACGGAAACACTCCCAATTCCCTTAGCACCGCCCCCGCCCCTTGTCCACAGCCTAGCACAGTTGGGGGAAAGAGGAAGGGGTGAGAGGGAAGGACAGACAGATGAAGGGGTGCTGAGAGAAGTGGAGGCTCTAACATACCTGCCTCTCCCCACCCCACTGAAACCCCTCAAAGGCTACCAAGTGAGCAGGGAGTCTAAATGTGGACCTAGCCCAACACTCTGGCCGGTGCGCCATGATCCCCCTACACACACGCACACCAGTCCAAACCCTTGCCCGACACTAGCCCGCCGCTGCACACATGTGACTGGCTCTGCCTCCTCCCTCTGTCTGAATGCTCACTGCCTGACACATCAGGACATGCTGTGTGATGGCCCTGCTGCAGACTGGGAACCCAGAAGTTAGAATGTCACGGTTTAACCACTCCTCACTCCAGTCCTTGTTAGCTGTACGTAGGACCATGGAACTAAATTAACTACACCTCTCAGCACCTAAATTTAGCCACCTGTAAAGGACAGTAGGAGTACCCACCTCAAATGAGTGTAGTGAGAATAAACATATGTAAAATACCTTGCACTCAAAAAAGTTATCTATTCCTATTAATACACTATATTCATTCATACAAAGTATTAATAAACAATTCATCCAATGATCATTCCTTATCCTTTTTCTCCTCTCTAAAATAAAGAAGATGGCGTGTGCACGCCTATTTTTTTAATGCTGTGGGGTTGCGGGGGACATATTAGGGAAAAGGTACTTTCCATGTGCTCTGGCTCCAGTCAGATTTCAAGTAAAAGGTGTGATGTCACCCAGAGCCTGTGCCAGCATTAAAAACAAACAAAAACCAGATTCACAAGGACTATACGTGTACATCGAACACCCAAAGTAAAAAGTGACTAAAGGTGTCAGTTCTTCTATATGTCCAACATGGTTCCTCTTCCAGCTCCCACTTCTAACAGACTATGAATGTACTTGTCTTCAAAACGTCTACTTCCAGCGAATTCTCTGGCTACGCTGCACGCACATTTGGCTCTACTTCTGTCCTCTTTCTTTTTAATCTACAAAATAACCAAATGTCAGTCACAACGCCAGTGCCCAGATGGGGTTCTCTAAACAAATAGTGCTCTCAGTACAGCCACACACACAAATCCCCACAAAGGCAAACAGAAGAGGAACAGAAAGAAACCAACAGAACTAAATACAAAGTGAAGACAGAAACAGAAAATGATATTATTGGAAATAAAAAAGCAGTGATTCTGATATACAATAGCAGCAGAGCAGAAATTGATGAATGGGGCTCAGAGTCTATTCAAAGTATTTCAGCCACACTAGGTTTCATTGCAATCCTGTGCACAAATGTTTGCTAATGTCCATGGCCACCAGTGACGTCTGCTAACTTTCCAAGGCCACCACGGAAACTGTAATATGGCCTTCAAAGCCACCTTAAAAATTATCCTTAAGCTGTTATTTCCTCAGAGAGAAGAAGATACGTTTTAAATTTAAGCAATAAAGCTAAATCAATATGGTCAGAAAAGACATTCAACAGCCAAAATGAAATATACATCCGACAAGGACAATCAACTGGAAAAAGAGAAAGAGAGAGGTGTAAGAGCAAGAAAAATAAAACTAATTTTATTTAAGAAAATACTTCACTCAATAAACTTTTGCTTTAACTTTTTTTAAGTATCAAAATATCGGGTTGTCAGAAAAGTCATGACGTATTTTTTCTATGTTTTTTGTTGCAAAAATGTGCCATGACTTCCGACAGCCCAATATTACAACTAAAAATAACAATGAAATTATGTTTAAAGCTGCGAATCTGAAATAGCTAGAGGTTTGAATTTTTGTTATGGGAAGGGACTAGTGAAGCAATGATAGGAAAAGGGATATTACATGGTGAGATAAAAATCACGAGTTTCAGAAACTTGGCAATATCATGTAAGTGCCAAGCTGGGGTGACGATGGGGAACGTCCACCATTTGGAACAAAAGAGGCCACTGAAGCCCACAGACTTAAATGATTCCCACAGCAAAGTTTCCTTCTAGAAAACACACAGATACCCAGAAAAGTTCTAAAGAAAAGTAAAATGAAGTCATATATGTGACTTGATTTCTTGGGGACCAGTCACACACAATTATATAGTTCAATTAAATTTTAAAACCAAAATGCGAATAATTCCTACGTGGAAAATTTTTAGTTTAGCACCATAGTGTATATTCAAGCTCCCATTTTCTCTTAAGGTACAGATGAAATATTTTATTCTTAATATTAAAGCAATATACAACAATGAATAAATTGCATGATGTTGCCTTCCAAATTATAACCTTCTTCTTCCTGTTCAAAGACATGCATAACAATAAAATTTTGAAAACTTAATTTAAAAATGTTTACTACATATGGACAAAATTATACTGTTCCCAAGAACAAAAGCTATAAGCTAAAACAGGGGTCGTCAAACTGCGGCTCTCAAGCCACATGTGGCTCTGAAGTAAAATTGAAAATGAAAATAAAACTATCATAGTTTCATTTATAAAATTTTTTAAGGATATTATCTATAATGGTGATTTCTTTTGTTTTATGGCTCTCGAATAATTTTTAAATTGTTGTGAGAGACAGGCTTGGCTCTTCTGTCTCTCAAGTTTGCCGACCCCTGAGCTAAAAACACAGAGCTTAGTGAAGCAGAAGACATTTCTGTGAAGCTATTTTTTTCAATTTCTGATATAAGTAAACGTGTAATATGAAAAAAGTCAGTGCTGACGTCTATGCTAACAAGACAGCATTTTAATCATTCACCATTATGAACATTTGTACCAACTTCCCCTTAATTGTCAAAAAAAGCTAAACTGGGTATGATTTCGTCCAGCTCTCTGGACTTAAACACTGCAGTTCATGCTTAACTTGGCCTGTCCTAGAAGACTAATGGCCCAGGCAGTGCTGATGAGACGGTGTCAACCACTGTGACACCAATGCACCTTCCCACACAAGCACAGAAAAAGCAAAGACCACTCAACCCAGCCTTTCTCCACCACTTAGCGGTTGAAGAGATGAGTGAACAACACATCAAATGCAGGAAAGTACCGGCACCCAGGCCAAAATTCCACCTCGCTCCTGTAAGTGGACTTTCCGTGACTGGCTCATGCTGCTCCACGTGACTTCCAGAGGTATCTGGGGACAACCCAGAACCCTCAACAATGAGGTTTCATTCTCGGAGACATCCAAGCTCTGGACCCTGAAGCAGGCTCTTCATCTAGGTGGACGAAGGGGCAGGAGCGAGTGGCTTTCACCCCATCAAACACAGCCCCCAGGAGCTGCTAAGGTGTGAGGGGGGCGGAAAAACACATTGCCACCATAGAATATTTAGCAATACCCAAGAACAATGGTTTAACAATGTTGTATTCACAGCCCTTTTGAGAATCTAGTTTTCATCAGAGCCTCAGCCCAGAAATACATAAATACACATAAAATTTTGTCTTCGATTTCAGAGGGGTTCACAGACATATGCTCCCCCGCCCCCAACGACGCACAGCCAGCCTATGGACCCCAGATTCAAACTCTGTCCCACCATCAGGCAGGGCCATGGTATAGTCTCACTTCTCAATCCCCTAAGCATGTCTGGCCTGCCCACAACCATGTCCCAGGGCCATCCTGGTCTCAAGGACTACAGTATGGATTAGCTTAGCTAAGGGCAAGAAGCAGGCATAGCATACGTTTCAACGTAGGGGTGTAGTGAACAGGGGATAAAGCATAAGAGACCTGCACATACAACCAATGAGAAAGGTTCAAAACAAGTCAACTAAATCTGGTCTGACCTAAGATGTCTTTAAACAGGACCCTACGTCATCTTGTGAGCCAACCTCAGGACTTGTCCATGGGATGCCAAGCCAACCACAGCTCTCAAATGAACTAAGAAGGAAAGAAAAGAAACAGGAGGGAAGGGGAGGAGAGGGGAGGGAAAGGGAAGGAAAAGGGAAAGGAAAGGAGGAGTGGAGATGAAGGGAAGGAGATTTAGAAAGTTGCTTACCCATGGATTTTTTTATGTCTTTCTTCCCCACTAGTTCCCTCCCTCGTGAAACGCAGTGAGCTCAGCCTAAAGGACTAAGTACCCTAGAGTACGGCCTAGGAAATAAGCCATCCCTTCCCCTGTCCATCACTGCACCCTTCAGAGTCACATCCCACATGAATAATGGCTGCAAAAGTTGGGCTATGGCTTGTCTTCATAATTACTGTCCACTGAATGTATTAAAAATGACTCCACAGGATATCTCAAAACAGCTGCAGTTTTATGGTGTTTCAAATTTCCAGGGGCAAATATTTTACTCAATTCCTGTGCTGGGCAAACCCAATTCTTTGGGTGGGAAGAACGTAATTGGCTCCAATGACAGAAAAACAGAGTTTAAAAACTATTTTTTAATATTGTAATTCAGGCTTACACTATTTATCTAAATCTACATCCAATGATTAGGCTGCATATATCATCACGTAAGAACTGATGTGCACACACACATCATATTGCAAACTATGAGATAAGCAATGTTTATATGATACAGTGCAGTTTCTCTCACCCTTAAGAAAATATCACAGAACAAAGAGAAATAGCCCCACTGTCCATATAATAGGCAAGAAAGCCCAAAACATAAGATGTGATGTTGAGAAGCTGTAGACATCTGAAGTTATCTTCATCGCTTTTCCCTTCCTCACCTCTGTTCTCTTATGAAAATTAAGGGAGAATAAGTCATCAAAGACAACAAAAGCAGGAAGAAAAAAATTTAAGCTCTAAATAAACCGCAAACTGAAACATCTATTCCAGGGAAAAAAGCCTGCTGTCATGATAAATTATGCCCCTCTGCCTGGCCTTGCTACAAAAGCCAGAGATGGATAGAGGTTCCCACCCAGGCATCGGAGAACTTGGCCCTGAAACCCACTTTACTGCCTGGGTCTCTTTGGCCAAACTGTACCTATGGAATCTGCAACACAGTTTCCTAATGTGTAAAATGACAAACCTAGGCTGGGTTCTTAAGAGTCCTTTCAGCAATAAGTCTATAATTCTACTGACAGACAGAAGAGGCACCTGTGCCACAAAACCTCTCATCAGGAAGGAGTGTTCCTTCTACACCATGACCCATTTTCCCAGGTGCTCAGACTCTGGAAGCCACATCCAGAAGAAAAAGTTGCCAAATAACGACGTGTACTTTTGGGAACGTCATTCTGGCTTCATGGTTTCTGCATTACCCAAAGGGCATGCAACTGCTCAGGCGGAGGCTGAAGGCCAGGGCCACGACGTGGGGTCACAAGTGATGGACCAGCAGCCAGGCTGGCAGCCCGCCTCCTTTACTGGCTGCAGAGTCGGAGGTAGGTCTCCAACCCAGGGAGCAAAACTGCAGCCACAGGTCACACCAGCTTACACATGGGTCGGTTTGGTGGTTTCAATTAAAATGTAAAATAAAACACTACTGTTTAATAACAGGTTGAAACTTAGCATACCATGCCCCCAACAAAGATGAAGCCAGCTCTCCAGAAACCCATGGCCCACACCTGGTCAGCCTCACTCACTCCGCACCTACCTCACTCCTCGGGGCCAGAGTTTTGAGACCTCTTACTCTCAATCTTTCCCAGTGGCCATTAAATGTGGCTAATTCCACTCCAGTAAATCAGATTGCGATAGCCCATGGTAAAGAACCATGCAAACAAGTTATTATAATACACTATCTGCATTAACAGGCCTGCAATGGAACCCCTTCTTAGCAAATGCAAAAGAAAAAAATAAGCGCATTGGAACACATCTCACAATTCAACTTTCCAGCCAATCAAGCTTTTTGTCAAACTGGTTATAGGTGTGCCTTCCTCAGTTTTGGAATTCGGAAAGCATTTATATGTGCTTAGAACTTGGAAACTGTAGAAAAAGTTTCAGCCTTCAAGTTTATATTTTGCTTTTCCCACCCCCACCCCCCACCCCTGCAGAAACTATAAACGCTGCCGATTTACTCCGCCTTCTTCAGTCCGGTAAGGAACTGAGCTAACCGGCACTGCCTTCGGTATTTAAACATAAAGGGGGAGTGGGGACAGCTAGTCAAGCCGTGAACAAGCAAAGCAGAACTGGGTCAGACTCCGTCCAAAGTCTATCCAACAGGTGGGACGCTCGTCAAGCGGCGACTTGTCTTCCAAGAACAAACACGTCGCGTGGCTCGGTTTTCCTTTGGCTGTGACAGACGCAACCTTACTTCCTACCAGGCTGAAGAAAGATCCACGGGGAGTTAGTTATAATATAACGCGCTTCTCGGGTTTGTTTCCCAAGTTTCTGGAGCTTTCTTTAACTTCGGAGCTATGTATTATAGATACCCAAAAAAAGGGAGAGGGGGCACTGGGTGACCATACTAGTGAGAGGGACCCTCCGGGAAAACATTTGGACTCAGACACTGGATACAATTGTCCTCAAGTTCCTCTGTCCCCAACGACCGCACTTAGAATCGGGGGTGCGGAGGGCCCTCTGCCGACTACCCCAGCCCACCCCCGCCCGGCCTTCCCGAGGGGACCGCGCCCCGCGCGCGACTCACTGCTCGGCCGGACACCGCACCGCCGCCCGCGGCTGCCCACCGGCCGCTGCCTTCCCGCCCTCCGGCGCCGCGGCTCTGGTCATGCGCGGCGACGAGGGCCCCGGCTCCGGAGCCGGCTTCTCCACACAACTTTGGTCCGCCCACGCTCCCGGATGGGGCATAGTCCCCCGACTCATGGGGCCGCCGGCGGCGGCGCCGCAGGGGTTCAGCCACCACCGAGCGACGCGGCGCCCCTCCCGTCGGGGCGCACGGCCGTGGCTGCCGCCGCTCCGCTTCCTGCCGGCTTCCGAGGGAGGACAGGGCGCTTCCGCGAGCGTCACCGGCGCCCGCCCAGCGGCCTCTGACCCTCAGCCAGCGGGGCGCGGCTCGCGAAGGTGGGGAGTCCCGGGACGCTGTGCCTGCGCATGCGCCTGCGCGGGTGGCGCTGCGAGCGTGGAGGGCGTCCGGCGCGGCCCCTGCGCATGCTCCGCTGCCGCGCGCCTTCGTCTTTCCCCAGTTGGTTGTGCGCTTTCCTTGCTCTGCGTGTCCGGTTTTTTTCCTTCCTCTCACGCCAGGCGCGTGTGTAAGAGGAGGGAACGGACTGGATGCGCAGCGGGACGCGTCCTCGGTGAGGAGGAGAAGGAAAACCGGCCCGGGGCGTGGAGGGTGCTAACGAGCTTGGGCGCCTTGCGGTGTCACTTTGGGCTTCCGAGTGTCGCTCTCAGCCAGCCGGGGTTTCCTCCACCGTAAAGCGAGGGATGTGGGCAGAATGAGGGATGCGCGGCTTGCCTGGGCTTCCCCGAGTGACGGTTCCGTCACGACCCGCCCCCGAGCCGGAGGGCTCTGGCCTTCCGCTTGGGGACAGGCTTGTCGCCCAACGGCTGGGAGTTACGCGCCCCCTCCCCTGGGCGAGGGTGGGAAGGGCCGACTGGTTCTACTGGACAGTTGAGCAAACGCAGCCATGTGTGTTGGACTGTATTCTTTCAAATAGAAATTCTGATTTAGGAGAAACAAAAGCAAAGGAAAAATGTTAACAGACTTCAAAGATAAAGTGGGAAGACGATTAGCTCAGTTGGTTAGAGCGCGCGCTCTGAACAAAAAGGTTGCTGGTTGGATTCCCACATGAGATGGTGGGCAGCGCCCTCCCGCAACTAGATTGAAGGACAACAACTTGACCTGGAGCTGATGGGTCCTAGAAAAATACACTGTTCCCCAATAAAAATTAAAAATTGCTGATCTTTAAAAAAATAAAAATTAAATCAGAAGGTGAATTGTTCCTCCCTGGGGAGGAAATCATGAAGTAGCCTCTAAAAATTCGCAGCAGTCATGGGGCATTCTCAAGCTAAGGGTGCAGAACCAGGGTATGGAAGAAGGAATGGCATGGAAATTAAGAAACCTGCAAGTATTCAGGGGCAAAACAGTAGGTACCAGAGGATTTTATTGAAAGATGAAACGAAAAAGGACGCTGGAGACCAGATCATGAGACGCTACCTTAGGCTGATGAAGGAGTTGGTGCTTGATGCTCATTGAAAGATAGGAAGAAGATTAATTTGGAAGATCAATTTGCCAGTTAGAGGAAAGACTGAAAAGGGGCAAGTCTGGGAGACCAGCATAGGGGAACTAAATGGTAATGGGCACCAAAGGGAGAAAGTGATAGAAAGGATATTTGCGTTTTAAGGCAAAGAACTATGGGTTTTTTTCCCTTTATTTTTATAGTAATACACATGCTAAAAAAGATTCAGAGCATACAAAAGATATATGAATTATATATATATGTATATATATATATATTTTTTAAGGTATTTATTGGGGAATTGGGGGATGGGAACAGACAAGTTGCTGTCATTTTGTTCTTCAGTCTAGTTGTGGAGGACATCGCTTCACTGGCCCAAGTTGGCACCATCATTGCGCTCTTCCCGGGTGAGGCAGATCAGTCGCCGGCTTCTGGACGGCTGCTCACGGTGGCTGCTGGCCACTCACGCTGGCTGCTGGCTACACACGGTAGCCCATGGCAACCCACTGCAGCAGGGGCTGCAGCCTACGCAGTCGCTGGCAACTCATGGCAGCCCAGCTCCAGGTTGAGCTGTTGTTCAGCATCTTAGCTGTAGAGGGCAGTGTCACTGGCCCTCATATGTGGGATCCGAATAGGGGCCCTCTGGCGTCCCAAGCCAGCTCTTAACCAACGCGCCATTCAGCCGGTCCCTGAATTATATTTCTTATGGATAGTAAGGGTATGGGATTATATTGGGTTGAATAGTATCCCCCAAATTCATTATTCAGAAATAGGTTCTTTGCAGATATAATCAGTTAAGATGAAATAATGCTGGATTAGAATGGGGCCTAAATCTAAAGGATGATGTCCTGATAAGAGGAAAGGATGCAGATATATATAGATACAGGGAATAAGGACGCATGAAGATGGAAGCACTGATTGGAATGATGTAGTTTACAAGGCAAGAAGTGCCGGGAGCCACTAGGAGCTAGGTAAAGGCAAGTCAAGTTTATTCCAAAGAGCCTTCAGAAGAAGTATGGCCCTGCTGACAACTTGATTTCAAATATCTAGTCTCTAGGACTGCAGGAGAATAAATTTCCGTTGTTTTAAGCCACTCAGTTTGTGGTACTTCGCTCTAGCTTCCATAGGAAACTAATAAAGGAAGCAAGTTAAAGGATTTATAAAGTGCTATAAGGCCAAATTTGTTGATATGGGATGGTGGGCTGTACCCACCCACCCATGCAACTAGATTGAAAATGGTGACTGGACTCAGAGCTGAGCTGCACCGTCCACAACTAGATTGAAGGACAACTCGACTTGGAGCTGATGGGTCCTGGAAAAAACACACTGTTCCCCAATAAAAATTAAAAATTGCTAATCTTTAAAAAAATAAAAATTTAAAAAATCAGAAGGTGAAATTGTTCCTCTCTGGGGAGGAAATCGTGAACTGTGATATAATTAATGTAATTACAACAATTAGCTGGTTATGTCAAGGTGAATAAGTAATAACAAAAAAATCTCTAAGCTTAAGTAAAAGTCTACATAATAACATTGCTAGAAACAATTCCATTTAGTTTCCAGCTTTCCCGTAGTATCAAACCTTCCTAAATTAGATAACTTAAAGTTATATGATGATATTGTAATTTGTACCTTGGACTTGGTAACTTACATTTTGAATCACCTCGCATTAATATATCAATACCTGCTTCTTCCATGGCCTTGTCTAGAATAGTCAATGCATGAAACACTGAGTTCCTTTTCTTTAACACTTCAGCCTTTACTTGCAATAACTGTTCACAAAGACCACTGCTGAGCCATTCGAGTTTTGGTTGGTTTGACTGATTTTTAAATTTTCTGTAAGGCGCTTAGTACAAGTTGGATGCATATCTCCTTTTTCAATACCATAAATATCATATTTTACAGCAAAATCAAAACACCCTATATTTCTACTCTAAGGAATTTCCCACTGTGACAGCAATAGATTTCAAGTGTATTCTGTACACCAATTTCTAAGGTATTCACAGGAAAGGTACTTTTTAGTTTATTCTAGTTGCACAGGTTCGTGTACTGCACTCAAGCTTGAAAGGAAGTATTGCTAGTTTTATTTAGAAATTAACTACTCTAGAAATAGCCAAGTATTTATTTGAAAGACCCTGTTTCCCAGCATGCCTCTTGATTGTGGACTGCTCATTTTTAAACAGGATAGGGAGCGGGGGGAACCTACCCTGTCTTTGAAATTCTGAGACTAGAAGAAATAACTTTATAGAGAAAAAAATAGGAGAAATAGTTCATTAGAAAAAATATCTAGCAGTAATATTAGTTTACCTGGAAACCCCCAAAACTGTCCCCAAGAGTTTTTCTTGGGAGAAGTATGGGTCATAGTGAAAGTTATTTTATCATGAAAATGAAACTATTTCATACATAAAGAGATGACAGAGAATGATGTTATACAAAGACTTGGAATTCTGGAAAATATTAAACCAGTCTTTGGCCTCCAAGTAAACAGAATTTCATCCTAAAGAAATCATCCAGGCAAATGATAATTTTTTTTTCTGGTGAAGGCAATTAAGCGTTATCTTTTATTTCAATTTGGATTGTTAGTGACTGCTTAGAGTTTTGGTATTTTTTAGTTTCAGGTTTCAGGCAGATGATAATTTATTTACCTGGAAGTCTTCTAAAATGGAATTCCATACTCTTTAAGTACCTTAATTTCTTCTCTGGACTGAATTGTACACCACGCCCCCCGATTCCTATGTTGAAGCCCATACCCCCAATGCAACCATATTCAGTGTTATGGACTGAATGTGTGTGCCCCCCATCCCCAAATTCATATATTGAAATCCTACTCCCCAGTGGGATGATATTAGGAGGTGGGGCTTTGGGAGGTAATTAGGATTAAATGAGGTCCAGAGGGTGGAGCCCTCATGAATGGGATTAATGCCCTTATAAGAATCATGAGGGGCCGGCCGAGTGGTGCGTTGGTTAAGAACTGACTTGGGACGCCAGAGGGCCCCGGTTCGGATCCCACATATGAGGGCCAGTGACACTGCCCTCTACAGCTAAGATGCCGAACAACAGCTCGACCTGGAGCTGGGCTGCCGTGGGTCACCAGTGACGGTGTGGGCTGCAGTCCCCTGCTCAGTGGGTTGCCATGGGCTACCGTGTAGCCAGCAGCCAGCGTGAGCGGCCATCCAGAAGCCGGAGACTGATCTGCCTCGCCTGGGAAGAGCGCAATGATGGTGCCAACTTGGGCCAGTGAAGCAACGTCCTCCACAACTAGACTGAAGAACAAAACGACAGCAACTTGTCTGTTCCCCTTCCCCCAATTCCCCAGCACTGTTCCCATCCCCCCAATTCCCCAATAAAAATCTTTAAAAAAAAAAAAAAGAATCATGAGAAAGTTTGCTTCCCTTCTCTGCTCTCTACCAGGTGAAGACACGAGGAGAAGTCAGCAGTCTGCAAATCGGAGGAGAGCCTCACCAGAACTCAACCATATTAGCACCACCCTGATCCAAGAATTCCAGGCTCCAGAACTGTAAGATATAAATTTTTATTGTTTAAGCCATCCAGTGTATAGTGTAAGGTATCTTGAACTAAGACATCTGGAGATAGGGCCTGTGAGGAGATGATACAGATGAAATTAGGTGGTATGGGGCCGGCCGAGTGGTGCATTGGTTAAGAGCTGGCTTGGGATGCCAGCTCTGAGCAGCAGGGCCCCGGTTCGGATCCCACATATGAGGGCCAGTGACACTGCCCACTACAGCTAAGATGCTGAACAACAACGCAACCTGGAGCTGGGCTGCCAGTGAGGCGACAGCGTAGGCTGCAGCCCCTGCTGTAGTAGGCTGCCATAAGCTACCGTGTGTAGCCAGCAACCAGCATGAACAGCCAGCAGCCACCGTGAGCAGCCGTTCAGAAGCCAGGGACTGATCTGCCTCGCCCGGAAAGAGCACAATGATGGTGCCAACTTGGGACTGTGAGGCAACGTCCTCCACAACTAGACTGAAGAACAAAACGACAGCAACTTGTCTGTTCCCCTTCCCTCAATTCCCCAATAAAAATCTTAAAAAAAAGAAAAAAAGAAATTAGGTGGTATGGGTGGGCCCCTAATCTGATAGGGCTGGTGTCCTCCTAAGAATAGGAAAAGACACCAGGCCTCACTCTCCACCCTGTGATACCACAGAAGGCAGCCATCTGCAAGCCAGGAAGAAAGCTCTCACCAGAAAATCAGTCTGCACCTTGATCTTGACCTTCCCAGCCCCAGAACTGTAAGAAATAAGATTATGTTGTTATAAACCACCCAGTCAACGGTATTTTGTTATGGAAGCGCAGGTGGACTAAGACAGTATCACAAAGTATTTCCTTACACTTACCCTTTAGAACAAGCATCTGTGTTCCTTTAAAAAGGAAGCCTGTCATTCATACTGCATACCGGAAGTTAGAAAGAGCTAGAGGAACAAGTCCTAGAAGTGCCCTAAGAAAACAAAAGTAAGAAAGAGAGTCTTTGCCATTTCTGTACCATAACATAGGAAACCTTCACCTCCTCAAGTAATCTGATGTTAGGTTGATGACTTTCATATAACCTCATTTTATCTCCATTATAGTCAGAGGAGAAAGCATCACCCAGCTATTACCAAAAAACTCTCTCCTTGTGATAAGGTAAGTTGTCAACCTCATCTTTAAAAAATTATAGCAGGATATTGCTGACAGAGTAACAAGGGATTTTTGGATCTTCTGCTAATCTTTCGCCTCATTAATTTTTCTTTTTTCTTGGTCCAGAATTTGAGAAGAATAGTTGACGAGGTCTTCTTCAAAAGGAAAGGTTATATAATTTCATTATTATTGCATCATTCCCAAAGACCTTGGCAGCTAGAATCCATCTTAAAATAATGGTCATCAAACTCAGGAAACTCTATGTCTTGGGGTACACTAGGGCCACGTTATACAGTTGCACAGCAGAGTCCCTGGGGTAATGAGACAGGTTAGCTAGCATGTTGTTAGGTAGACAGGGAAGTCCCTGGTAGAATAAAACAAAGGCAGCCATATCTTGGAAATCCAGGTTCTGAAATGACTCATTTGCTCCAGGGCAAAAATGTAATCCTGCCTGGGGGTAAAAGGGTTATTTCGTAAATCCCTTTAGGCTGGGCAACAGAGCGAATCTGATAGACAAAATCCATTAGAAGGCACCAACTCCCTTCCCCAAGCATGCATGAGAAAGTATAAAAGTAAGAGCCTTTTACCTTAGCCAGTGGGCATCCCAGTTTCAGGTATCCCCTCTCGTAATAAAATAAAAGTCTTTGCTCCTTTACCTCTCCTTCCAAGTCCACGTTCTCATTCTTGGGTATGTGAGACCACGATCTCCAAGCACCAGACACCAGGATCATATCAGTAAAAGGTACCTTTCAAGGCTGTATGAGGGCGTGGATAGGTCTGTTCTTTCTGACCACTGCCTTCATGTTTACCATATTCTTATTTTACAAAAACAAAAATCTTATCTCGCATCCATCCCAAATCTCACTACAATGCATGCCTCAAGGGCTGTGTTGTCCATATGGGTACTGAGCACCTGAAATGTAGCTGGTCAGAATTAAGATTTGCTGTTTGTGTAAAATACTACAAGATTTCAAGAACTGAGCACCCCAAATCAGAAAGAATATGAAATACTTCATTTTAAATTTTTTATAATGATTGAATGTTGCATTTTACTTCTATTAGATGGTACTATTCTAGAGCATCAAACAAAGGGACATAAATACTGCTTTCAGAGAAGCCTCCAATGTAAGGCACCAAGAACTTGTGTTCAGGCTTCTAATCTTTTCTTCTCTTAAGAGTGGGTAGTTTGGTATTTAAATTGAGTACTTGGTAAATGTATTAATTCAGATATTTGTAGAGTGGGGTTATAAGAATGATGATAATTTCACTCAAAGAAAGCACTGCTCCATTGATGGAGAGTACCTAGAGAACAAAGCAGAATATCCATGAGAAATACTAGTGTCATCTTATGTCATCCAGGTGACAAGCTCATGCCAGGTTGCGTGCCTTACTTAGCACTCAGAATGAGTATGAGATGAGTCTCAAGGTATGTCCCAGAACCAGGAAATGATTGACTCATGACTGGATAATCAATCCTTTAGTAATTCAGGTGGATTCTAGATTGACTCATGACTGGATAATCAATCCTTTAGTAATTCAGGTGGATTCTAATTTGCTGCTTTCAACAAATTTGAAGGAGAACGTTAAGTGGTTTGTTGATAAGTTAAAATAACCTTTAATGAGCAATTGCTATGATACTTCTCACATGTAATTCAGAAATTGAAAGAGTTGAATGATTTTTGTTATAACAAAACTTCATTTTCATCTACTTATGAAAACCTTGTTTCTCTTGCCTATATCTGTAAAACCCAAAAATAGAAGTTGAATTGAGATTAAATCCTATCTCTTTCTAAGAATAAATAACATTCATCAATAGATACTGAGTTGTAGGCAATAAAATTTTACTAAGTATGTATAATAATTAAAATTCATAATATATTGTTTTAATCAAATTTTTATTACTAATCATTATAATAGTAAATAAAATTTCAAGTAATTTTAAATTAAAACACTTGCAAACATAAAAATATACTGCATTAAATAAAATTCTGGGAGTGGAAAATAAAGTGGGAATAAGATTTCAGTGTGAAAAAGGAATAATGTAAAATTGTAGTCTTTTTAATTAGTGATAGTAAAGTTCTAATGAACATGTTATGTAGATTCTATTGGAAACTTAAGTTATATGATGATTTTATTTTGAAATTTCAATTACTTATTTATAGTAAAATGGAAATTACACCCTTTCAAACTAAATTTCTAGTGGGAAATTTTAGATGTCAACTTTCAGATGTGGAAAGGGTTTCACGGTTTTTCAAAACTCTCTTCCAGGGGAAAGTGAGCAAACATATTCAGATGACTGCCTTAGATGGCAACTGTCACAACCCTTTCATTTTGTAGATGTGGGAATTGAAGACCAGAAGTTCTGTTCCTGACCCAGAACTCATGGCCGCATTCGATCACTGGCTCTGCAACTCTGTTCCATCTCCCACTCAGATTAGGCATAAGGCCCACGGAGCCTGTGAGAAAGTCCATGTTCACCCGCAAAGAGGTACCTCTAGGGAAGAGGTCCTCACTCTGAAGTGTATTTGGGTTCAGAGTTGCTGTCTGGCATCTGGTGGTAGTCTGTCCCTACCATCTCACCCACTGTCAGGATTCCTTCTAAAGCAATCATTCAGAGATATGAGATGTTCACACACCTATCTCAGCAAGTTGGGTTGTTATTTATGTAACTATTGATTTCCCTAACAAAGTTGGAAGCACCTTGAGGGAAGCAGATATTCATTATCTTAGCTTGGGCTGGGCTGCCATAACAAAATACCATAGACTGGGGGACCTTTATTTTCTCCCAGTCTGGAAGCTGGAAGTCTGAGATCAGCGGGCCAGCGTGGTCAGGTTCCAGTGAGAGCTGTCTTCCTGGCTTGTGGGCCTTCTCGCTGGGCATGCCTGCTCAGGGAGAGCAAGCTCTGGTCTCTCTTCCTCTTCTGATGAGGACACTAATCCTATTGGATCAGTGCCTGACCCTATGACCTCAGTTACTTCCATAAAGGCCCTATCTCCACACACTGTCACATTAAGGGTTGGGGTTTCAACATATGCATTTTAGTTGGGCACAAACATTCATTCTACAACACACATAAATGTTTATATATTTTGTTTCTAACCCAATGGTACCAGTGACCGTTAATACATTTTTGTTGAATGATTTAATATTAGTTATTTTGTGTGTTTTTTTCAGTTCCAGGGGTACAAAACAATGAAATAGTTAGACATTTATACCCCTCAGAAAGTGATAACCCTCCTCCCCCAATCTACTACCCCTCTGACATCGTATAGAGCTGTTACAATTCCATTAACCCTATTCCCTATGCTGTACTCCACATCCTGTGACTATATATGTATTAAATTATTGTTGACATTCATTATTATTCAGCTTCAGCTTCAGGTGTACACTGCAGTGTTCAGGCATCTACACCAACCATGAAGTGATCTCCGTAATAAGAAAAGTGCCCATCTGACACCCTATAAAATCTTTACAACATTGTTGAGTATATTCCCCAAGCTGTCTTTTGTATCCCTGTGGCAATATATGGCTACCAATTTGTGCTTTCTAATCCCTTCACCTTCTCCCTCATCCCCACCCCCCTCCCATCTAGCAACCCTCAGTTTTTTCTTTATATCTCTGAGACTGTTTCTGATTAGTTTGTTCATTTATTCTATTTTTTAGATTGCACATACAAGTGAGATCATATGGTATTTGTCTTTCTCCATCTGACTTATTTCAATTTAAATTGGGGTAAAGAAAGTCTATTCAATAAACGGTGCTGGGAAATCTGGACAGACGCATGCAAACAAAAAAATGAAGCTGGACTACCTCCTTACTCCATATACAAGAATAAATTCAAAATGGGTTCAAGACTTAAATGTAAGACCCGCAACCATAAAACTCCTAGAAGAAAACATAGGGAGTAAGTTTGCAGACATTACCTTCAGTAATATTTTTACTGACATATCCCCTCGGGCAAAGGAAGTAAGAGAGAAAATAAACAGGGGATTACATCAAACTTAAAAGTTTTTTCACAGCAAAGGAAATCATCAATAAAACAAAACGGCATCCTACTGAATGGGAGAAGATATTTGTCAATGATACATCTGATAAGGGATTAATATCCGAAATTTATAAAAACTCATTCAACTCAACACCAAAAAAACAACCCAATTAAAAAATGCGCAGAGGGCATGAAGAGACCTTTTTCTAAAGAGGACATACAGATGGCCAATAGACATATGAAAAGATGCTCAAAATCACAAATCATTAGAAAAATGCAAATAAAAACCACAATGCGATACCACCTCACTCCAGTAAGAATGGCTATTATTAATAAATCAACAAACAACAAGTGCTGGCGAGGCTGTGGAGAAGAGGGAACCCTGGTGCACTGTTGGTGGGATTGCAGATTAGAGCAGCCACTATGAAAATCAGTATGGAGGTATCTCAAAAAACTGGAAATGGAACTACCGTATGACCCAGCAATTCCACTCTCAGCTATCTATCCAGAGAAACCCAAGACGCTAATTCGAGAAAATATATGCACCCTTATGTTTATTGCAGCGCTATTTACAGTAGTCAAGACTTGGAAACAACTGAAATGCCCATTGGTAGATGACTGGATTAAGAAACTGTGGTACATTTATACAAAGGCGTATTACTCGGCCATAAAGAAGAATGAAATCTTACCATTTGCAAAGGTATGGATGGACCCAGAGAATATTAATTATTTATATCAGTATGATAGTGGCAATGTAGTATAGCAAAGAGAAAACAAGCTATGTGATAAGTCATTTAACCTCTCTGAGCCTCAGTTTCTTCAGGTGTAAGATCTAGAGAACAATGTTTTCTTATGGATATGTCATGAGGATTAGAAGGGAGGTGTCTCACAGATCTAGAATAGTGCTTATGAAATAATTGCTATATTTAATACTTTTCTCTTAACACGTTATAGTTTGTGAAACACTTTGCATACACCAGCCCACTGAGTCAAGACCTAATTGCCTCAGACACTCCTGACACCAAGCCTAATGATCTTTTCACTGTGCTAAGGGATCTAAGACCTCACAGGAAGTATTAATTTTAAGATAACCTTGGACTTCACCAGGTCATAATTTCTGTTTTGTGGAATGAAGGAATTCACTAAATTGGTCCAGCCATCAGGGTAATCAAGGCACCAGGTTAAGAAATCTGCCTGGTAGGGCGAGAACAATAGTAGGTGTTTTAATTGCTTATTCTTTTGGAAAATTAAGCAGCTACCGTATTTGCCGGTGTATAAGACGACTGGGCGTATAAGACGACCCCCTAACATTTCCACTCAAAATACAGAGTTTGTTATATACTCGCCATATAAGACTACCCCCTCTTCCGCACACCTTCCACACACCAAATAAAAGGTAAAACAATATCAGATTTGATTTCAACATTTTAATTTATATTCAAATGCTTATGACATGCAGGAAAACTGTCACAAGGCTGTATGTAATCAAACATATACATAAAACAGTGCAAGTTTATTACCGGTAAACATACCGGTAATTCACTAAAGAAAACACACTCTATAGACTGGTACCGTAGATTTTGTGAGTGTGGTAAAATCGCATAACAGCAAAATTGCATAACAGCTGAGCATACACCCAGCAGCGCTGCTGATGCCTGAACGGTATGTGGAATGAAGTGGGCGGGCATCGGGAGGCCACTATGGCACGGGGCAAGCACTATGGGCAGTCTATCTGAAGTGTACCTGGCGTATAAGACGACCCCCCACTTGGAGGCATATTTTTCAGGGACAAAAAATCGTCTTATACGCCGGCAAATACGGTACTTGCAATTGCCTCACATAAATTATTTTTCAGAATACATATAGGCAAAGCTTTGTGGGTAAGTCCATTCATGGCCAGTAGGTGGCACCCTAAGAACCTCTCCTGGACTAGTTCCTCAGCCCAACAGCTCTTCCAGCCTGAAGGTTTTTAGCAGTCTGGGGCGAAGAAAACAGAAAAACGGAATCCTCCTTTTCTGTGCAGAGTCTGTTAAGTTTTCTTTCTAAGGTTGATCTCCTGCTGTGAATAGTACGCAGAAGAGCAAGGCTCTCGCAGTTACCTACAGAGAGCATGGATCACCTCAGGAGGCTTGATCTGATCCCTACAGCTGACGTGAACACGCTGGTTTTCTTGGAGGAAGTGTATTTCCTGCCCTGTGTGCATCTCACTGGGTTCTGGGAGGACCATATGAAGTCATGGATGGGAACTGCCAGGTTCTAACTGAAAAGCAAGGCTCTTTCCACAGCTGCAGCCCGCCTCTACCTGGGAGGCGCCAGCCAGCCTTGCACCAGCTCTGGGCCTCTGCTAACCCAACCCCTGCCTGCTCTTCACCAACTCCAAGGTCATTCTCAACATGTATCAAGGGCCCTGACACCAGATCTGTCCATGTCAACATTCATTCACACAACCGAAACTCACAGTACGAGTGTCCTGCACACCAATGACACTCAGCTTCTCTTCAGCACCTTAGTCCAATGGCCACACCCTAGGCCTTGTCATCACCTGGAAGTAAACCCCCTTAACATCGTCAGCTTCACACCTACTCTGTGTCAAAAGTCGCCTCTCCTTCCCCCTCCCACTTGCTTAGCCATTTCCTCGGGACCCCCAGGTCCTTCACTTCTTCCTTCTCCCCCCCCCGTTCATCCGCCCCCACCTCTCTACACACAGAGCCCCCCTCTCTCTTCCTGCCTGTGCTCTTTACAGTCAGC